TAAGCCCGCCTGCTACTATGAACAGCGTTGGGGGCGACGTGGGGGGGCCCTGGCCCGACCTGGCTCCTCCGCCGGAGGCCGTTCACCTCTTTCACAGCTACGAGGATCTCAAGGCCCAGCTGCTGCCCCTGAGAGACCCCGACCAACAGCAGCCAACGGACAAGTTTGTCTCCCCACTCGGTTCTCTGCATGAGGCAGACGCCTTCGCACGAGAGTCCTCCCTCGCTGGAGCTGCAGCGTTGCTACCCCAAGGGTCCCGGAGCCTCCTTCAGCCTTTCTCCAAAAGCTTCATCCACAGCCGAGACACTGCAGTCTCTCCTTCTCCGCCCATTACTAGGGGCTCCCGCCGTGCTGCCTCCCGCAAAAATGAGGGACCCATGAGTGGCGAGGGCACGCCTGGCTCTGTCCTAGGCACTCCTCCTTTGGCTGATACGCCGAATGTTCCTTCTGAAAATGCTCAGGATCCGGAAGGAGTGAGTGGGCTTCTGGAGGGGAATAGCAGCCAGTTGAACGAGGCAACAGCTCCCCGACACACACAGAGCAATCCGCTCCCCATCACCTCCCCCCTTGGTCACGATGTGCCCACAGCTCAGCGGAGGACCCGCAGTAGCGAGACCTTCAGTGGTACCTTTGTGAAGAGCAGGAGCAGGAGAGACAGTGCGCTGGGTGGGCGCGAGCAGCACGAAGACAGTGCAGGCGGCACTGTCCCGCCAGAAGTTGAGTCCCTGCTGCTGAGGTTGCAGCATCGCAGCTGCAGTACGGGGACAGCAGCTCCATTCAGCTGGCGCCGAGCTAGGGAACGCGCGAGAGCGGTTGCTGCTGCTGCACGAAGCAGCAGTAGCAGCAGTTGCTTTGCAACGGAAGGCAACTGGAAGTTCGACGGCGACATGTTAGTGCCCGGCGACTCAGAGAAAACTAAAGCTCTAAGGCAGGAGGCTCTCAAGAGAGTGCGGCAAAGGGCCAGAGAAGCGCGGGAGAGGCAGCAACAAGAGCTGCTGCAGCAGCAGCTAGAACAGGAGCAGCAGCACCAGCGTAGCCAACTCCTCAGTAAACAGTTACGGCAGCGCACGCTGCAGAGGATCAGAGAAAATGCCCTCAAACAAGAGGAAGAGAGGCAGCAGCAGGAGCTGCTACAGCAGCAGATGATGCGTCAAGCGGAGGCGCAGAGGCAATATTGCGCTCGACACCGCAAGGCCCTACAGCAGCGGCTACTGCAGCAGCAGCAAGAGATTAAAGACAAGATAAGAATGCATGCGGAGGAGAGCGTCAGACNCAGCGGCTACTGCAGCAGCAGCAAGAGATTAAAGACAAGATAAGAATGCATGCGGAGGAGAGCGTCAGACAGTCCAGAGATGCGAAGGTAAGGGGATGCATATTTGTTTACGAAATATACATAGTATATATACTTGTGTATTCATAAGCATACCTGAATGTCAATGATACACGTTTTGCTATATTTGACAGGTCTCCATATGGCGCCAACTATGCATATTGGATATGTACATGTTGGGCACTTAGTGTGTGTAGAGGAACGTATGCATTTTCATCAACCTGCGCGCTGAAGCATATGCCACAGTGCTATTCAGCACTGTATTTAACCTCCATCCTGCGTGTTCCACTTACGCCGACTTTTGGGGGCCGCCGCAGACCCCTGCACCCCTTAGGAGGCCTCTTGGCGCGAAATCTCGCCATTTGTATGCTTTATGAATTGGTCTACTCTCACTTTGTTACCTCAAGCGCCTACTTGCACTCGTGTACACTGTGCAACTTCGTCGATTGTTTTTTAATGACCTTGTTGTCGTCTGGTTTTATGCGAACTGCTGCAGGAACGAATCGCAGCCGAAGTCGCCGCATTTAGGCGCCGCACAGTTGAACGGCTGCAGGTAGGCGTTGACAGGTTGACTTGATAATTTTGTACCGGTCACTTGGGGCCCGCGGTTTAGGGTTTGCAGAACGAGCTGAAAAGGAATGCCGGCTGCAATCTCCACACAAGGGAAACAACGAGCGAGATATTTATATGAGATAGCAAAGCAACTGCCAAAGGGTTC